CATCGTTTCTTGCAATAAATAAACGATTTTGCTCCATGGATCCTATACAATATTGCAGTTTGTTTTGATTGTTGAATGTTTATTTAAAATAGATTTATGTATTAATACTTAACATTTGAAGGAGCCTTGGTGGTGCAAATGGTTAAGTGTTTGGCTGCTAACCAAAAGGTGGGCAGTTTGAACCCAGCTAGTGGCTCTGCAGGAGAAAGACCTGGTGTTCTTCTCTCGTAAAGATGACAGCCTAGAAAACCCTATAGGGCAGTTCTCTCTGTCCTGTAGTGTGCTATGAGTCAGAATCCGCTTGGTGACACCTAACAACAACAAAACTCCACGTTTGAGTGATTTTATAGAGACATGTTTTGTTTTGTTTTGTTTTTCCCCGAATTGTTCTTTCAGTTTTTCTACCTTAATAACAGGTGCTTTTTCACTGGAAGCTCATTGCTCTACCTGTCATAGAAACCTTGGTGTGTTACTGGGGGGAGAGAGAAGAGTTAGTATCTGGGGGGAATAGGTGTGGAGTGGCTGGCCCTACCGCTGTCCATAGCTTGGATTGTGAAATAACTAATATTTCTTACTATCTGGTCTTTTAGTTTTATAGGATTTTTACTTTGAAGCCCTTTTGTGAGTCATTTAGATTCCAGAAATTTAATCTTTAATTTTAAAACAGAGTGAGGGAAAAGATGGAAGAATTTGCAGGTGAATACAAAATAAAGAATGACTCAATATGGTTAAAACCCAAGTTGTGCTTGGCTGTTAGAACTCTTTTGTGGGGTTGAATGAGTTGTTTGTGAGCAGAACTGTCATGAGACCCACGAATGAGCTGGGTTGGTTACTGCTGAGCACCTATGGCAATTCCTCAGTCTGCTCTCTTGGTCTCCCAGTACTGTGACCCACCATCCCTGCTAGGCTGCAGCCGTGGTGGAGGTGGAAGATTCATTTAAACAACATGGTGACAAGAGCCAATATGGTGGAAATGAGTAGTTGGCATAGTAAGAGCTGATATTTACTGACTGTTACTATGTGCTGGGTATCCTGCTAAGTTTTATAGGCATTATCTCATTATCCCATAGGGACCCAATGGGATAGGTATGACTGAACCAAAAAAACCAAACCTGTTGGCATTGAGTCGAGTCCAACTCGTAGCAACCCTATAGGACAGAGTAGAACTGCTCCATAGGGTTTCCAAGGAGCTGCTGGTAAATTCGAATTGCCATCCTTTTGGTTAGCAGCCATAGCTCTTAACTACTAGTGCCACTAGGGCTCTGGGTATGAATAGTATCCCAGTTTTACAGATGAGGAAGGTGAGGTACTGAGAAGTTATGAGACTAGTTAGTCAATGCTAGGTGAGCATTAGAGCTGTGATTAGAGCACATGTCTCTGTTAGGCTAAACTCCAAGTTCTTAACCAGTGTTACCCTCATTTGTTCTGTTGTTCGTGTGGACAAGATGAAGTTGGAAGAACACAGGCTTCAGACTGTTAGGACTTAGGTCTAAAATTTACCTGTGCTATTTATTATCAATGAAGGAGTGTGCGTTTGTTGTGAGCATTAAAGGAAAGAGGGAAGCTAGCGCTCAAGTAAGCTTGTTTGTTAAGTGCCCGTAGGACTGGCCATCATTTATGTAAAGTCCCATAGCTTCGTTTTCACCCATAGCAGGCTGCTTCTCAAACGCTTCCACCAAAATTTCCCTGTAGGAGAGCAGACTGAAGTCCCCACCCCAACCTGCTCTGTGCAGAGGTTGTCTTTTGCTCCCTGAGTAACATGTTTGTTGTTTTTTAAAAATGACCCAGGTGATTTAACACGATGACAGGTAGATGCTACAGAAAGGTGTGCCAGGCTTATCCTGTGTGTTCTTTTCCACAGGGGCCATTACCTGGTGCCCGCTGGGCACACGTGAGGTATGACAGCGGGCTGCTAGCTGCCATCACCTCCACTGTATTCTACTTCAGTGCAGAATTTTTCTTTATCCCATCTTCTTGATCTCAGGATTGTGGGAGACTGAACTTTGTCATTGGTGTGTGTGGCCTGCCCAACTGGAAAGCCTTATGGATGACTGTTAGATACAGTAGTAACATTCAAATATGATGACTTTCAGAGAAAATTCTCCTGAATAAGTTATTTAAAAATTAAATTAAAAAAGAACATAGATAAAATAGATATTCGAATATACAAACATGATTCCCATATGATGAATTCATTTGCACACTCTTGAGAAACTGATAGTTTTAAGTGGAATTTTTAGTTAAAAGCTCTTTTCAATGAGAGCTGATTGCCTTTCATATAGGTGACTCCAAAACTGTTTTTTTCATTTAGTATGAAAGAAAAGAGCCTTGGTGGCACAGTGGTTAAGAGCTTGGCTGCTAACCAAAAGGTCAGTGGTTTGAATTCAGCCCCTGCTCCGCAGGAGAAAGATGTGGCAGTCTGCTCATGTAAAGACAACAGCCTTGGAAACCCTATGGGGTAGTTCTGCTGTGTCCAGTAAGGTCACTATGAGTTGGAATCCACTCGATGGCAATTTTCAAAAAAAAAATTTTTTATTATGAAAGACACTAATAGTTCTTTGGCTGGGATTGTTTGAAGTCATTTAAAATATTATCATATTCTGCATCTAATGGTAATTTGGTTTTATTTGCTTGCTTATATGTTGAATAAGATACTTTTGATGTACTATGGAGTGAGGTAAGTATGAGCTGTGCACTTCTGCAGGTATTTTGAATTAAATTCATTTTCAGACACTTCTCTGTATATAATTTGTGCTGTTTATGATGTGTTTTCCAGGGTGATGTAGAATATAATTCTGATAGCCTGTTGTAAATATAGATTCTGAACCAATATGAAGTCCTTAATATACTGCAAATTACCTTCCTTCAGTGGTTTTCCAATTTAAATTAACTTATGACCAGCCACCACATTGTTCGGGTCCTGATTACAAATCCATATCAAAAGAAAATTAAATAGAGTCTTCTTTCTTCATTGATTCTAATTGAGAACTTAATTCATTTAGTGCTGCACAAAGTTGCAGATTTGAAAAGTTTGATAGATCCATTTGAATTGTATTATTAAGATGTTTCCACAGGTTGTGAGTGTGGGGATGCCCAGCTGCGGTCCTACTCTCTCGGTGTAGGACTTGGAACTTACATTAATGTGGTACTTTCTCTCTGTCCACTAACATCTGTGCTCGTTCATGGGGTTGCTTATTTGGCGTAGCGTTTGATTCTGTATTTATGTGCTGTGAATATTATGATAAACAGAGGACGGCATCAAATGACCACATAGGGCAAACTTATCCCTTTTCTTCCTGTTAGCATTGTAGAATCTGGTGTTTCCATTGACATTCACTTTTCTGTATTCCCATTCCCCTTTTTTAAATCCAGATGCAGATGCTTAAGCAGAAAGACTTGTTTTTGCAGGTCATTCCTTATTCCCTAATGGCTTTTTCCTGGCTGTTGATTGGTTTCCTTTTGATTACCTGTGGCCTCACGGTGATGTCAATAAAGGCCTATTTACTTTAAAAATATCCCTGCAACACGATGCCATCCTATTAGGTTAAAATTCTTTCCTCAAATCGGTCAGACTCTCAAGTTATGTGGGTGCAGTGAGCCATGGAGGTAGATGAGCAACATTTCCAGCAGCGTTGCCTTCATTTGGCTGTGGAGGAGGTGAATGCATCATGCTTCTGCATAGGCTCCACACAGGTTTTCCAGTGCCTTCTGTTTCCTTTCCCTCTTCTCCCTGTGCGTCTCCTTTGTCTGTCCCATCCTTCTCTTCTTTCCCCTCTTACTTCTCCACTCCCTTCAGCATGTGAGTGAGGAAGGTGAAAAGCAGGCGGCAAGTTCGTTCATTTCCTGTTAGCTCACATCTCTGAGTCAGTGGGTGTCTGCCCCAGACACTAGACCGTAGGACTGAAGTCAGCGGTGGAGGAAAACATCTCTGTGTTGGGTTCACAATGTTCTGTTGAGTGAAAGGGCTGCTGTCTTGCTTTGCTCCCTCACCGTAGTGCCTCCTCAAGAGCTCTCTGGGACAGGCTGGCGAGGCAGGTTTCCAAACATTTGAGTGATGCTGGCTGGGAAGTTGATCCTGGAAATTAGTAGCAGTTAGGTCTAACTTGATCGGAAAGAAACAATGAAAGATGGGAAACTACTGTATGTCCTCTGGGTGCCAGGCATTGGGATAAGTGCTTCCAGAATGATCTCTTCAGGGAGTCTAAAAATGAGAAACTCTTCTGTTAAAATGTAAACTTACCTCTCCTAAACCTCACTTCCTATATTTTGTCCATTTTGCAGATATTAAAAAACAGATTCCGACTCATGGCAACCTCACGTGTGTCAGAGTAGAACTGTGCTCCATAGGGTTCTCAATGACCAATTTTTTTTCAGAAGTAGATCTCCAGGCCTTTCTTCCAAGGCACCATTTGGTAGACTTGAACCTCCAACCTTTCGGTTAGCAGCTGACAATGATAACCGTTCGCACCACCCAGGGACTCTTAGCAGATATTACCTGTTGCCGTCGAGTCGATCCCGACTCATGTAACCCCACAGGACAGAGTAGAATCACCTCATAGGGTTTCCTAGGCTGTAATCCTTATGGAAGCAGATTGCCACATCTTTCTCCCGAGGAGCATCTGGTGGGTTTGAACCGCCAACCTTTTGATTAGCACTGTACCACCAGGACTGTAGCAGATACTAGATTGAATTCAGATGTGTTATAAAATCATAGTAAAATTGATTCCTTAAGTTTAATAATTTTAAATGCTATGGAAAGAATCCTGTGGTATATCTTCTTTTAAAGAAGGTCACCCTTTGGGGATGTAAATATGCATTGCTTAATTTTAAAGAATCCAAATTCTGATTTTTAGTACCAGCGTTCATTATTTTAGTTTGTTGGTGGCATGGGTCTATACTGTATAAAACTCTTCCTCTAATAATATGAGAATTAAAAATAAATTCTGTGAAATTTTATCTTGATTGATACAATGCTGCTTATATTTACTGTTCCTCTTTAGGTTTTTTCCCAAGTAGCTCGCAAGGGTGCGAGGCATTTCTCCGCCACAAGATGACGTTGATCTCTCCCTCTGTGCTGAAGAAGTACGGCATCCCCTTCGACAAGGTATATTACCATTACAGATTCATCTTGTGTGTGTGTGATTTGCATTTAAGATGAATATTTAACATTGGTTAATATGTTTTTCATTTCAAGTAAGATTTTTAGAAAATGGGCAGAAAAATTCAGATTCATGTTTTATAACATACCAATTATTTATCGAAATGTTAATTTGAAATTAATTTTATTTCTGGATACATTTGCTAGAGATTTCATGCCATTGCGATTCACTTATAATAACACTGAAAATGTAGTACTTCTACATTAAAGGCTGAGTCTTATGTGAACTGCATGATTTATATGTATGTGATCTATTTTTAAAAAGAATTCAGAGCAGTTACTATCTGCGGTTGGGTTGGTTAGGATCAATGATTATGGGGCCACTGTGTTGCCTTAGCAGCCCTAGTGGTGCAGTGGTTAAGAGCTCAGCTGCTAACCAAAAGGTAGGTAGTTCAAATCCACCAGCTGCTCCTTGGAAACCCTATTGGGCAGTTCTTCTCTGTCCTGTAGGGTCACTATGAGTCGAAATCGACTCGAGGGCAACAGGTTTGGTTTGGTTTTTGGTATATTGACTCATAAGGAGCCCTGGTGACGCAGCGGTTAAGTGCTTGACTGCTAACTGAAAGGTTGCCAGCTCGAACCCACTAGTTGCTCTGTGGAAGAAAGATGTGGCAGTCTGCTCGTTTAAGGATTACAGCCTTGGAGACCCTATGGGGCAGTTCTACTCTGTCCTATAGGGTTGCTATGAGTTGCAGTCAACTTCATGGCGACAGGTTTGGTTTGGCTTTGTGTTACCTCATAACACGTTTAGACATACTACAACTGAGATTTTGTTATGGATAAAATTCTCTGATGATTTAATAATCAGATATTGCTTCTTTGGAGTATTTCTGCAGACTAAGTTTTGCAAAGCTCAGTGCATACCAGCTCCCTCTTTCTCTGTGTCCATGGACAATTACTGAGTCAGAATTATTACCCAGCACAAGCATTTTTATGTGAAAAAGCTGAAGTGAAAAAAGCTTTGACCAGATAAATAAAAGCCCTCTCTCGGCTGGAGGAGGATTAAGTACTTAGCTACTTGCAGAAACATTAAAAAATAGTTCTACTTTCCTTTCCATCTTTTATTTGACTTTACTTCCCATAATCCTGCTATTTTCCACCCTAGAAGTTTTTCACTTATGACTAAATCTTTACCTCTTGTTAATCTTAGGTCCTTAAAGTGGCACTTATTTTTTCTTTTTCTTGAGGCTTTGTTCAAAGTAGAATCTTTCTAAGTTCCTTGGAAAACGGCCTTGTGCCTGATGTGATCCTTGCTCCCTGAACTTGTAGGTTCTCCCACAAACTGTCTGTGTGGGTGTCATGCAGGATACACACCTAGGTTGGGGATGACGACTTGCTATGGAAGGACTGTAGGTGGGAGTCAGTAGAGCAGGAAAGGAAGCTTCCTTGCCCTGATGGCGGCAGCCCCCTCTCTCCTCTCCCTGCCCTCTTTGTTGTGCTAGAAACAGAAGCAGGTGAGTTTTGTTCTATCGTTTAGTACAAGGAAGAAATGCCTAGTGTCCAAGCACAGTTATAATTAATGAGAAGCACGGAGTCCAGAAAGGGGGAGAAGCAGGCTGTGTCCTCATGTGGCTCACAGTGACGGAGCTGGGACCATGCTGAGCACTGCAGAGCCCTTCTCAGCCACCATGTGACAGCTGAGCTATGCTCACTGCCAGAGAGCACCTGCTGGGTGTCACTGGTGAGGGAGGGGATGAGCTGGATTTCATAAGTGTCAGTAAAGAATGTCCTCTCACACACCATTTTAGCATCACTAAAATGGCACTGGATAACAGCGTGGGAACCTGTATTTACACAGTGTTTCTCCTGTTGGTTTACACACATACACACACGCTCACGCACTCATTTCTCAAACTCTTAGGGCTGAAATGAACCAGAGAATCCTCTATTACAGTTCACTACTTCAGACCCGGCCTCACTTTGGATTTAATTTTAGATTCGGTTTAAGGGAAATTTCTTGACATAAGAGATGGATAGTGGAATCCTTTGTGGAGTTTTTTTTAATATTATGATGGATTCTTATTCCTCTTCCTTACGTGGTCTTATACAAAATGGAGAGGAGCTGGTATATAGTCTATTTCTGAGAGTCCTCCAGGCTAGATATTTGTTTATATTGTTCCTTTATATTTTTTCTTGCCCCGTGATTGGTGTGGAAGGCTGGGACATCCGATCTTCAGACATTTTATGTCCGTTGTGATGGGGGGAATATTTTAAGCGTTCATGCAGTATTAAGATCACTTACAGTCAGGCCAATAAGAGTATATGGAGTACATACTATGGCAGGAAAGTTGATGATAAAATACCGGCTTTAATTTCAGATCGCTTAGAATTGCAGGGAGTGTTGGGGGATAGAAGTTGATAGAGAAGCAAAGAATACAGATGGTGATGGTGTGAGAAATTTATATTTCTCCATAAGGAATATTCAAATCCATTACTATGGTGGATCAGCAGAGGGAGGAATCTAATTCTTGGGTTAGATAACATTTCATGGGGAATATTTTATTATAATCCTCTTTTCTGTTTTTATGTTACTTCTGCGAACTGTAATTTTCTTAGATTTTAGAGGAGTTCTTAATCATCGATAGTGTGTCAGAAATTTATTCAGCTCAGGCATATTTTTATCCTGAAAAGCAAATACTTGGCAACTCATGTTCACCAAAAGGTGAATGGATAAACAAAACATGGAATATTCATATAATGGAATAATATTCAGCAATGGAGAGGGATGAACTACTGATTACATAAAACAGCACAGATAAATCTCAAAAACATGTTGTACACAGCCATACTGTATGGTTTTATTTATATAAAATTCTTGGACAGGCAAAGCTAACCACTCATTAAAGGAATCAGAACAGTGGTCGTTACTGGGCTGAGAGTTGGGGATGGGCTGGGAGTTGACTGGAAGGGACATGAGGAAGCTTTCTGGGTGATGAATGAGTTTTGTGTCATGGTAGGGATGTGCATATGTATTTGTCAGAATGGAGCAAATTGCACATTATGATTTGGACATTTTACTGTGTGTGGATTAAATCTCAAAGAAAATAAAATACTTCTTTTTTGAGTCTGTAGGACCATTAAAACCAAACTCATTGCCGTCGAGTCAATTCCAATTCGTAGGAACCTTATAGAACAGAGTAGAACATAGGGATCCCCAGGAGTGGCTGGTGGATTTGAACCGCCGACCTTTTTGGTTAGCAGCCATAACTCTTAACCACTATGCCACCAGGGCTCCAGGACAATGAAAAGTGGTTTTAAATTTTTGTTTTCTTAAATTTTATTTAATTTTCTTACCAGAACTAGGAGAGAATATAGGCTCTTGATGTGAACCAATAGCATTTACTAAATACTTTAGAAAGATTTATCAGGGATAAATTTTGCTTCAGTGCCCAGATCTAATGAGTGTTTTTTTTTTAGTGTCACTTTGTACTAACCTAAAGCATTTAGAAATGCAAAAGTCTTCACTCTGTTGAGTGCTAGGTTAGAAATGTTTTAAGGTCAGATAATGGAAAACAAAGATTTTATTAGGTCATTTGAAGAAGTGACTAATAAAGTGATAACCTAGTATCAAAAACCCAAACCAAACCTGTTGCTGTCAAGTTGATTCCGACTCGTAACAACCCTATACGACAAAGTAGAACTGCCCCATAGGGTTTCTAAAGAGTGGCTAATGGATTTGAACTGCCAGTCTTTTGGTTAGCAGCCGTAGATCTTAATCATTGCACAGCCAGGGTTCCAATCCACTATCAAGTAGATAAGAATTCATAATACAGGTAGTCAGCGACTTACTATGTGGTTTGTTCCAACAGCCTCATCATAAGTTGGTTCTGACGTAAATCGAACACCTCAATTTTTTTTAGTTTTCATTATTGCCTTTTATTATCAGTATCTTTGTAAGTCATAACATTGAACATCTGTGAGTGAACAGCTGAGAATGATAACATAAGCAAATTATGTGCAGCAGTACATAGACAGGGAACTGCCAGAAATCAAGCCAAATTCAGAAGATGACACAACCTTGCTTGCTGAAAGTGAAGAGGACTTGAAGCACTTTCTGCTGAAGATTAAAGTGCCAATGGCTGCAGTGAAGCTTGGACTTCAGTATGGATTGCATTTCAACATGAAGAAGACAAAAATCCTCACAACTGGACCAATAAGCAATGTCATGATAAACTGAGAAAAGATTTAAGTTGTCAAGAATTTTATTTTACTTTGATCCACAGTCAGTGCCCATGGAAACAGCAGTTAAGAAATCAGACAATGCATTGCATTAGGCAAATCTGCTGCAAAAGATCTCTTTAAAGTGTTAAAAAGCAAAGATGTCGCTTTGAGGACTAAGGTGCGCCTGACCCATGACATGGTATTTTCAGTCGCCTCATATGCATGTGAAAGCTGGACAATGAATAAAGAAGTCTGAAGAAGAATTGATGCATTTGAATTACGGTATTGGTGAAGAATATTGAATATACCATGGGCTGCCAGAAGAATGAACGAACAGATCTGTCTTGGAAGAACTACAGCAGAATGCTACTTAGAAGCAAGGCTGGCGAGACTTTGTCTCACGTACTTTGGACATGTTATCAGGAGGGACCAGTCCCTGGAGAAGGACATCATGCTTGGTAAAGTAGAGAGTCAGCAAAAGAGTGGAAGACCCTCAACAAGATAGATCTTGACACAGTGGCTGCAACAGTGGGCTCAAACATAGCAGTTATGGTGAGGCTAGTGCAGGACTGGGCAGTGAATCTGTTCTGTTGTGCATGAGGTTGCTGTGTTGGCTAAGTTGGCTACTGCGACTTGACAACCACCTAACAACGACACCAACAACAACATCCTGTCTTTAATTATGGATTGAGTAACTAAATTGCCAGAAAGTCACACTTTGTTAGAAATGTTTTTTAAAGGTTTCCTGAAAAACGCTATTAAAGGGCAAAGTAAGAGATCTGGGGGAAGTTCTTTTATATTTATAGCGCTCTGATGTCATGACCTTTCTTTCTTTATATTTTACAGGGGATGCTTTTAATTGTGTTCACAATTTCGAAAGTCTTATAACTGGAAAACATTATCTGTTTTCTGCTCCGCAGATCACCCAAGAGGCGGGAGAATTTATGATCACTTTCCCATATGGCTACCATGCTGGTTTTAATCACGGTTTCAACTGTGCAGAGTCTACAAATTTTGCCACTGTTAGATGGATTGACTATGGAAAAGTTGCTAAATTGGTAAGTGATGCCTGAAAAATAAAGCACAAATTAAATGTGTATCCTGGTTATTGTAGTGAGAAACTTATGGTCACATGCGGCATTTATTCTTTTCCTCATTGGCGTTGTGTGTGTGTTTTGAGATGAATGCAGAGCAGTTTACCCTGAGAGGTGATTTTATGTGACTGATGTTTGCTCTCTCTCTTAAGGCTGCCAGTTGTTTTTCTGTCAAGTTTTTCAGTGGCTTCACGGGACTTCATATTGGATAGACTTGGTCCCCTCCCCATTAGAATTCAATTCCCAGCTTAGAAATCAGTTATCTACAGAGGAAAGTGTCTGGTAAAATTGTAACAACAAGAGGTTCAGGGAGGATAAGAAGAAGAAACGATTAAAATGGTCCTAAGTACAGAAGTGAGTTTCTTTTAAGTAGTAATGTGAAACACATTTTAGCAAGAAATAAATTTTCACGTTAAATTTGGTATAAAATTTTGCATCTCCTGCCCAGTGTGTTTAATTTAGTTCCCATACTGTGTATTTTCATTCACAAGCAACAACTTCTATTAAATTTAATTACTTCTCCCTGCGACGTTAAATAGAGGGCATGTTCAAAGTGATGGTGGCTTCCTTTCCTGTGGTTCTTCAGGCAAAGGTGCTGGCAGATGGAGGGCAGCTTCTAAATGAAAAGATGGGTTTTACAGAGTATGTAAGATTGGCATAGATTTAGCAGGAAATGATACACATAGGTAGCCTTAACTTGGCTAAGTTGGCTACTGCATAGTACAATTGAGTATTATTCTTCCTACGTGAAAATCCCATCTGGAACCATTGGGTGAGCTTGGATAGAAATATTTAGAGGGAAGACAACTCTAAGGTTGATTTACATGTGTAGTTAGAAAGTTGCATAAAATTGCATAAAACGAAGCCCAGGAAGCATCTGAATGAATTCTTAAAATAAAAGAAAGTGCCTGCTATTAGAAGAATTTTCTACCCGGAGTAATTTCTATTACTCAGGAGTAAATAGAAATAATTTCTATTTATTATGGGTAATTTAGAAAGGAAGAGACCTACACTCTTCCTTCTGATAGCACCTCCTACATATGATGATAAACCTAATAAAAAATAGAAACGTAAGCATGTGCACCTGGCCAGGTACTGCAGTACTTTTGCAGAAATGTAGTACTTGCATATGCAGTGAAACAATGTAATATCCGCGAGGTTATAACAAGATATGTTATTTTATGGTTTGTATCTTTAATCAATAATTTGGCTATCACACAGCTGTTCAGAGTCACCAGAAAAATTATTTGGTGCCTGTTTACTATAAATTTCAGAGCTAGTTCATGGTATCGGCCAGAGTAGCTCCTCCCCAAGGCTAAGATGCCCCAGGTGCAATAATATGCGTGTTGGGGTTACACTTCCACATATGGGGTCACCATGAGTTGGAATGGACTCGATGGCAACGGTTTGGTTTTTCTGGGTTTTGATAACTCAGAGGTAAAGTTTTCACTGAAAAGAAGATGAGACTAATGTTCCAAGTGGCCATGCCCATGTGCTTGCTGACCTGGGCAGAGTTCAGGTTTGTTTGGTGAGTGCTCAAGGAGCTCTCCTCTGCGGTAGGCGTGGTGCTGTGTTTGTGTTAACGAAGAAAGACGAGGTTTCTTTGTCTTCAGGGACCTTTCATAAAGAACACAAAGGCTTTAAATAAATCCTCCCTTGGAAAGCTGTAGTATTATTGGCCATACCACCCAGCTGTTTCTTTTAGGCATCTTCATAGCTTTGAACATTGAACATCAGACTAATCTAGAATGTAATGCTGTATATATTTTTTTCTGGTAGTGATTTAAAAATATGTAACAGATAGGTTAGCAATTGAAAGAAGATGCTTGTGCACATTTGAGACGAATGTGTTCAGTTTCTGGCACATTCTCCCCTTCTGTGGCCAAATGGAGTCCATGATGACGTCTGTGCAGCTGCTTTGTTGGAGCTTGGAAGGTGGCGTCCCAGCTCGGTCAGATCAAAGAGCTGGCCTGCAGGTTGTGTTTAATTTTTCCGTTTGGTGGGATGAAGTGCTGTTGTTTTGATGTTAGGTTTGATGGATTTGTTTGCCACTGCATTCATTAGCTTCCCTTCGAAAACCTGACAGGCTGTTAAATGAAACTTTGGCTTAGATTTTCAGCTTGACTGTTTGGAGACATTTGTGAAGTTATTTTGTTTTTGTGTTGTAGCCGCCTCAAGCATTGCGATTGTCTCGAAGGGAAGAAAAGTTATTTACTGTACTAATTTCCTTGAGTAAAAAAGAATCATTGTTTTGGGGACAGTCATATCTAGCCCACACCATCAGAAGTAGTGTATTTATTACAATGTGTGCAGTGAGAGACTTGTCTGCGGCGGGATAAGTCATGTTATTTTCTTGGAAGGAGAGATGATAGTTGGTGGCACCAAAAAGATACCATTTATTTTGCATTAATTTTATTTTAAGTGATAATCTGTTAACATGATGTGTCAGAAAGTTGAAAACTTGTACCATGGAGCTGGGGATGTTCTCTGATGAACTCCAGGAGTTTTACTTCATTGTCTAATTTCAAAGCATTCTGACATTTGAATCCTCCAACGTTCGAACAAGTTTAAAAAGAGACAATAGAATTCTGAAATTGAGTTCCCTTTGATCTAGAAGGGACTTCAGCTGCTCAGTTGTCTGGCATACAAGAGCCGTGATATGGATTCATCCTATTTTGTGTTTCAATCCTTCTCTAAAATTAAATTTGGTTTTTCTTAAATCAGATAGCATCCTTCCAAAAAAAATCTTCAATCTTGAACAGTCTTTATTAAAACAATCAGGAATCATTTTAGCAATGAGTCTCTAGGTTATATTTTCATATACTTTAGATCACAAAATACTCATACAGTGACATTTCTCTGTTCTTAATGGCATGAGAAGGCCATTATAAATGGAGACTCTTGCACGTTGCTCATTTAATATTTCTTGGCAGTCTAAGTGTCTGGTATGGTCTCTGTATTACGAACTTCTTGAGCATAGAGATTGTTATATTCTGCATTTTTTCATTTACCTTCACTTTCTACTCTGGATCTGCATCCTACCCCTGGTCATGTAACTTGACATGTACTGATGAGCGGCTCTGCTGTGCTTTTATCAAAGCTCAGAGGGAACATCATATAGGGACCATACTGTGTAGAGAAAAACGCACCAAACGAAGGCATGCCCTAAAAGAGCTTGTCCCCTGCCTGGGAAATTAGTATTTTTTTATCTGGCGGGGTTTGAAGCAGTGCAACGAAAAGATTCGCACGATGTCTTCACATTATACTGACAAAGTATTGTGTGATTCAGAAAACCAGAGACTTGAAGTCGTATGGTATAGAGCCAGCTGGTTAATGCACGTCGTGTCTGCAGGAGAGATACCTGGGGCTCGAATCCTTAGAGCTGGGGAGACTGATGTCATTTGTTGGTAACTTAAATTTGCTGGATTATGGACTTGAATGGTTGTAGGGATAGAAATTTATTTTTTTCACCTGTAATCATGGTACCTTAAGTCAGCAGCTTAAGAAAAAGTAAAGTTGGCTCTTTAGAACAACCTAAATACTCCACTGGGAATAATTTGTTTTTAAGCTGTTACACCTTCATATACTTTAAGATATTTAAAATATCTGGAAATAACTTTCTTTCACCTTCCCCTATATTCCCTGTCTCCCCTCTAAGCTTAATTTTCCTCTTTTTGCTAACATACTGTATATATTATTCTAATTTATTTTGTTTTTCTATTTCCCACTAGAACGAAAGCTCTATCCAAGTAGGGATTAAAAAACAAAACAAAACCCCTTTTTACACTTCAGCTAACATTTCAACGAGAGCTTTGTCACACAAAACAAAATAATCACAAATATATAAGAATTAGTTTCCTTTATTTACAAATTGCCTCTTGAGAACTTCAAGCTCCCCTGCCCATACCTGAAATGAGTCTTCACAACTTAACTCATCATGTCCACTCAGATAATTGAGCTTGAGATTTCATCACATAATAGGAAACGGTAGATTTGGAAGGTTTTAAGACAATTCAAGAAAAAGAAAATATGGACCATTTGAATAAAGTCACTTCTCTGTCTACCACTAAGAAGCTGATTTTTTTTTTTTTTTTGGAAAATCATGTGGCCTTACTGAGACTGTAAAGTTAAATAGCGGTCTTGTTCTTCTCTTGACTTGGAAGCTGTGTTTTGAAATGTGAACACATGGGTCAGGAGGCAGCAGGTAAAGGGTGAAGAGAGCAGTTTGTAGCCAGGCAGACTAAATTCGAACACGGGTGCAGCTGCTTGGTGGCGTTTGACCCCCTTGATAGCTTTATGATCTCATTGCTAATTGTTTGCTGTTAATCCCTGTCTTAGTTATCTAGTGCTGCTATAACAGAAATACCTCAAGTGGATGGCTTCAACAAAGAGAAATTTATTCTTTCACAGTTTAGTAGGCTACAAGATCAGATTCAGGGTGTCAGCTCCAGGGAAGGCTTTCTCTTCTCTGTCAGCTCTGGAGGAAGGTCCTTGTCATCAATCCTCCCCTGGTCTAGGAGTTTTTCAGCTCAAGGACCCCAGGTCCAAAGGCGTGCCCTCCTGCCTCTGCTTTCTTGGTGGTACGAGGTCTCTCTTGTCTCTCTGCTCGCTTCTCTCTTTTATATCTCAAAAGAGTTTGGCTCAGGGCACAATCTAACCTTGTAGATCTCATCAACATAACTGCCACTAATCCCATCTCATTAACATTATAGAGATAGGATTTACAACACATAGGAAAATCACATCAGATGATGAAATGGTGGACAATCACACAATACTGGGAATCATGGCCTAGCAAGTTGACAGGTATTTTGGGCTGACACAGTTCAATCCATGACAATTAGTATCTTGAAAGATTGATATGGTCTTTGGATAACAGGTGGTGACTTCAGTAAAAAGCAAGCTAAAGGACGACTTGGGGAAACTCCTCAGGTGGGGTCTGAACCCTCCGGCACAACCACATG